CCTAACTGAGGGGGTCCTGTTGTCTGTGCCTGCAAGACCTGTCTTGGACTGTATTCCTGTCATCCAAATAAACCTTCGGCTTTACTGGCTGGCTGAGAGTCATGGTGAATCGCAGGATGCCGGGGGTGCAGGGCCCTGAGTTCCCCAATACTCCGTGACACCCTAATTATTAACATTTGCAAATAAAATTAATAATGAATCAATTGAATAGTTTTTCTGAACTGTATATCTTTTCTCAGAGTATGCATGCCACATAAATAAATGTCCTTCTCTTAGAGTAAGGCTAAATTATACTGCTTGTGGTGAAGAGTTTGTTAAATTATTTTAAAAAGTTACCTGGGAGTCTCTTTGTGAAATCCACTAGTACTTGCACATGAACAACTGCTGTCTCTGAGAGCCGCAGAAAACTCTCTTCAGGGTTTGCAGTTTCCTGCAGCTGAATAAAAGAAAGAAAGCAAAATTAGAAACATTGGTATTGCCAAAATACACTGCTAGAATATGAAAAAATAAATATAACAATATTAATTAATATCTCTGTATTGTGTCCTGTCCATTTTGAACACGTACAAACTTCTTTGCTTCCTCTAGGGGAATTGTATATTTTTGATGGGCTGCCACAATGTGATCAATAAGTTGATGTTCCACTGGAGTTAGTTCCATCCTCTCTTGGATCTTTAAAAAAAATAATCAGATAAATGACAATACATATGTGGTAAGGTAAAAATAATGTATTACAATGAAAAGATACATTTTAAATAGGTAAAATCTCCCACTTTTCCAGGCCTAGTTGTGGATGAAACATGCTTGCTGTTTACTCCCTCATCTTCCACCTTGATGCTACAAAGGAAACTGCTCTTCTGCTTGAAATTCTTTCGGAGTCGTTTTGATTTACACTGGACTTCAGTCAGCAAACCTGTAAGATATATAATTCTGTATCAAAGTATTTATCAAAGTTCAAATACCTGTACTGTTCAAAACAAACACTTGTGTTATTATGCAGACTTTGTAAGTCTGGCACCTCAGTAGCTTATCATCTATATGGAAAGCAGCTTCCTACCTATGAATGTTCTCAGATAACAGGTAGTTCCATGTTCTGCCTATGATGGTAGCAACATAATGTGTTTTGTCAGTCAGTTCCTATCAATAGCCTAGATGTGGGCAGGAGTCAAACAGTCTGACGTCACATTCTCTTAACCTAGGCTCTGAACCATATGAACATAAGGGTTTCACATGAAGAATGAACATGGGCAAAATTTATTTTTTATCTTTTTGTAACATGAAAGAACATTAAACACGCTTATGGAGATCAGTCACAGTTCACCACCTTTAGCTGTCTCTTGATGGCAATTTCATAGACCCTTCTCTGATTCAGTTAAGGTGCCTGACACAGCAATTCTAGATCACAAGTAAGTCTGCATCACTTTAGAGGGGATATTTCCCAAATACTGATGACCAATATGGGTGGAAAAAGAAATACCACAAATGCTCTGAACCTAGGGGAGGACCCTCCAAAGTTAAAACTTCCTAAAGCAAAATAAAGAAACTGGCTTTGGAAATTAGTATGCCAGAGAATTTGTTGCAGTTGTAAGGAGCAGTGAAGCACTTACACTCTGCCAACATTCCCACAGCCTTACACTTCTTCAAGCGACACTCCTGACACTTCCTCCGCATGTACATGTCCATTTCACAGTGGCCACCATTCTTGCATCTATATATTGCATTTTTGGTAATACTACGTCGAAAGAATCCTAGAAACAAAAGATATTCTGGATGATGGGAAGGAATATAAGGAATCTTTGTAATTCCACTCTCAGTTATTTAAAGAGTTACTGTATGGTGTTTCTATAATGAAAGGATCAGATTGATGAAATTTTAATATTTTCTAACAATCTAATAATCATTGATTACTTTTGTTGCTGTTTTATGCCTAATATTAACCAGTGCTTGACCAAGGTAACTCCCTTTCACTCTTTCTAATGATAGGCACCTTACCAATAACTAGAGGGATCTATTAAAAGAGGCAGGGAATCCAGCATAACCCCCCACACTCAATTTTTAAGTAATGGCTCAAACCATATTCCAAGTAGGAGGTCTAACCAACATTCTAACACTTGACACTGTAGTTCCAAGAAAACTGAAATGAGCAAAATAATATAGGTCTGATAGAGGCTGAGAACTCAGTAAAAGCAACATGTTTAGCAGCTTGGAAGAGGGGTGAACAATGAGGTGGCAAAGTTTGCAGATGATACAAAATTACTCAAGATCGTTAAATCCAAAGCTGACTGCAAAAAGTTTCAAAGGGATCTCACAAAACTGGAAGACTGAGGAACAAAATGGCAGATGGAAGTTCAGAATTGAAAAGTGTAGAGTAATGCACATTGGAAAGCATAATCCCAACTACACATTTAAAATAGGGTCTAAATTAGCTGTTACCACTCAAGAAAGAGATATTGGAGTCATTGTGGATGATTCTCTGAAAACATCCATTCAGTGTGCAGCAGCAGTCAAAAAAGCTAATAGAATGGTAGGAACCAGTAGGAAAGGTATAGATAATAAGACAGAAAATATCATACTGCCACTATATAAATCCATGGTATACACACACACCTTGAATGATGTGTGCAGTTCTGATTGCCTGTGATGGGATGTACTCTCCACTCCGGCCTTGAAAGAGTTGAATTAGGCCAGGTAGGCCCAATCAATCAATTAACCTGCAAATGGGAGAATTAGGCTGTGTGGAGGCTGCCAATGAGAAGGAAGCTGTGAGGGAACAGGCAGGCGGCCAACAACAGTGTGGGAGACTGCAGGGAGGAAGCCTGGTAAGAAGTAGTCCAGGGAAGTCCAGACCTTAACTGCTCACTATTGGGCCCAGGACTGGAACCCAGAGTAGAGGGCAAGCCTGGGTTCCCCTATCATCTACTGCAGAGTGGTATTGCTGGAGGGCAGTGAATGGAAGACTGCCTGAATTGCTGCAGCAGTGATATATAGTCAGGGCAGC